AAGAGGGTTCTAATTTTTTTTTTTTTTTGAATTAAAATGAAGACAAAAAAGAAAATTATTAAAGGATTATAATAGTTTGGTAATATGACAAAAAAGAGAAAACGTTTTAGTATTTTTGGTTAATGATTTAAAATGGACCTATAAATAAATTCATGTTCAATGAATTTAAATTTATAACTTTATTTTTAGGTTCATGATATTTATGGATTAGTGATTTTTTTTTTTATCATAAAAATAAGTTCATTGATTATATGACGTTGATTACTTTTTTTCCCTTGTTTTAATGTGATTCACAATGAAAATAACTTGACATTGATATTGAAAGGTATTTCAATATTAAAAATTTCCATAATTTTGCAAAGTTCAATAATTTAAAATATTTAATGATATCGCTTACAAATCTTATGACAAATTATTAATATGAGTAACTTTGAGTTTTATCTCTTAGATAAATTTGTGTTTATCAATTATCACATAAATTTAAAATACTTTTGATCAGAAGCAAGAAATTTATAAACATCAAAATAAAGTAAAATATCAGTCAGGTACATGAAACGGCTGAAACGCCTTAAATTCCAAATCTAATTTGATTGGCTGCCGGGTCATATGTACGTTCCGATGGCCAATCTGAACGCTAATACAATTTCGTTTAAAATATTTTTTTTTTTTGTCAACTAATGAAAAAAAACTTAATTTGTCTTTTATTTCCATTGTAGCACCTGACCCATCATTAAAGATGTTTGCTACATCAGGCTACACAAAAGAATAATTTATATTTCCCGAATTAAAATGTAAAAACAAAATGAAAAGAAAGAAAATTAAAAGAAAAAAATTCTAAGTATTTCCAAAATAAATTCACCTATTTATATCTTTCAAAATTAAATAGCATTAGGAATCAATTAAAATCATTAATAAGTCAATAAATTTATACTCAAACTAAGTATAACACTGCGCCCCAAAATTAATAAATTCACTAAGTCCTATACGCAGCAAACCGATTACCGTAAACTGCCCAGTAACACCTGAAAAAATTCCGCATTAAGGCATTAAGTATTTTTTTCGGTTTTTTTTAGACTGGAACTTTTTTTTTTTAATATTATTATTGATTTTCAAAATCGAGATTTTCTTTCCAATTTTTTGAATTTTTGATATTTTTCATTCCGATTTTTTCTCTTTATAATTAATCACTACTAATATTTTTTCTATGTAATTTTTTATTTATTTTTATACATATTTTTTTTTTATTGACTTATATATGTATGTATAGGTATATTATCTTTATTATTTACTTCGTCTTTTAGTGATCGGATTAGATCGACGCTGCGGTAGGGATATTCGAAAATCGAATCTTTTCAAGATTTTTCTTATAGACGACAAACCTGACTTTGAATCAGTTTCTAAAATAATCAGCACTCGGCCGGCATGAAAAATTACTTTGGAGTCAGGTTAACTTATATGCAAAAAATTGCTGAGAATCGATTCTCGAGAATCGATTTGTCGATTTTCGATTAAGCGATTCCAATCTCTTTCTACGCTGTGGTCCTATGGTAAACGTGATTTTTATTTTTTTTTATTTTACTATTTTTTTTCTTTTTTCGTTTTTTCACCTTTTAGATTTGGATCAGTGATATAATTAAAATAAAATATTTATCAGATAAATTTGCTTTATATCATTTTTTTTTAGTTAGGATAATTATATTTTTTTTACTTGAAAATAAAAACGGGCAATATTATATAACATATAATTTATCTAATTTAACTAAATATAAAACAAAAATTTTGTTGTTATATTGATTTAAACGCAGTTACAGCTAGTCTGAATTAAACTATTTATCAAAATAAAGTGCTTTACATTCCCTTTTTCAAATGTTCTAATAATATTATTATTAAGCGGTTTTGTATAAAATAACTACCAACATAAAAAAATTTTTTAATTCAAAACTTAATATAATAAACTTCATTCTTCATATTATTACACTGATATGATTACAAACTTATTTAAAAGTCAAAGACAACGGTTAGCCTGCAGACAGCAAATTAGTTACAAACGGATGAGACGTCATACTAAATAATGATCGGCACACATACTTATGCCATGTGCTCATACATAAGGTCTAGACGTACTCGTACTGTTGTACACTACTGCATGTATTGTACTCTTCGATATAGTGCTTCCAAATACATAAACGAATTTTCTATAGAAATTCTATGTAGATAAAAAAAAATTCTAGACCATCTTTTCTATAATTTCAGGTGAAAGAGTCTTTTAACAATTACGTATATTGCAACAAAGTTAATAATAATAGACTTTAAAATTATAATTTTTTTTTTCTATGATTGTCAAATGTTTAAATTATTAAGCGATCCTCAAAGCTTAATATAAAAAACTTTCATCCATTACCTTATTACACAATGTATTCACCTCTTCTAAGTAAAAATAAAAATAAATTAAATTATTACATTGATACATGGTTACAAAAGTCAAAGGCACAATGATAGTCAGTAGGTAGGATGTGAGTACGCCATATTCGGGGCAAATATTGATCGACACATATTTATGCAAAAGGATAATGTCTGATGCACTCGTACTGTAAACTTCCGCATGTACTCTTCGATATAGTGCTTCCAAATAGTACATAACCGAATTTTCTATAAAAATCCCATGTAGGTAAAAAAAATTCTAGACCATCTTTTCTAATTTTGTGAGGAGAAAGAGTCTTTTAACAATTACCGTATATATGCAACAAAGCTACTAATAATAATAGCCTTGAGATTATTTTTTTTTCTATTATGGCTAAATGTCATTCTTTAATAATTATTGAGCGATTTTGCACAAAATGATTGCCAACATAGTTCAAAACTTAATATAACAAACTTCCATCCATTACCTAGTTATTGATACTACATGGTTACAAATTTAATTAAAAGTCAAAGGCACAATGGTTGTCAGTAGGTAGCAAATTAGTACAACGGATGTGATTACGCACAAATATTGATCGACACATATTCCACTATACCATAACAGGTCCAAGTATGACAGACTTGCTCGTACTGTATGTACACACCTGCTTCGATACAGTGTTTCAAAACGTCCAATAACTAACCAATTATAGTATAATTCATGCATTTACCCTTTCGATAAAATATTTCCAAATACAAAAACGAACTTTTCTGTAATACTAAGGTAAATTCTTAAAATTCCATGCATATGAAAAAATTCTAGAATACTTTTCCATAACACCAACGGAAAGTTTTTACATTTTCAACTCCTTGAAATAATCTATTGTCTGTTAAAATTATAAATATGTTGAATTTTCAATATTTATTTAAAAACATAATAAAATGGAACTCATAAAAATCTTAAATAAATATGATGAAAATTATTTTGACCCAACTCCGAAATTAAAATCTAGCCCAATACCGATCTTGTTCGTTTCATTTAATGAGAATGATAAAAAGTGTATTTATTGTGGAGAAGAATATAGTGAGGCGATTTTATGTTACCAAAAATATTGTAAAAAATGTTTATCATGTTATATCACTGATATAAATAATAATACTAATTTATACCTAGACATATATTTGTCTACAAAGAACTTGGAATGTACTGAACATGAAATAAATAGAATACTATATGAACCACAAAATATTCCAGAATGTTGTAGAAATTTCTTTGAAATATTATGTTTTAAACAAATACTGGGTTGTTTTAAATCTATATATACAAAGGATCCTTATTATAATTTAAGCGAAAATGTGATTCAAAGTGAAAAAAATTGTAAACTATGTAGGAAATCATTACAACAAGAAGCATATTTTAATTTTAAGTTGTGTTCAGATTGTTATCAAATTTCTTCTGGATGTGTAAAATCAACCTTATCTGAAAGTCCTATTCCAATTATTTATTTACCATGGTGGCATAATAGAACTTATTGTGAAGCTTGTAAAATATCCTTAACATTTACATCAGACTGTCAAAAGTATTGTACGAATTGTCTTATATTTTATACTGGATGTAGATATTGTCTAACAACAAATGTTATTTTTGGACCTACAATTCAATCTCAATGTAAAAAATGCAAAAAAGTATCATCTATTAATTTTGATATCACAAAAATTAGCATCGGAAATAATGATTTAGATGATTTACTTTCCAATTTGAGGCTTGATATTCACAATAATTTAAAAATAACCGAATTTGCTGATAAAGTTAAAGGTATTAAAGGTATTGATAAATATTTTTTTCCACATAGTATATGTAATTCTATTTATCAAGATGTTAAACTATCAATGGAATGGATACCATATTCTCAATTTACGGATATAAAAGAAATAGCAAAAGGAGGGTTTGGTATTATATATCAAGCAACTTGGTTAGATGGTTCATTTTGTATCAATAAACATGGTAGTAGAATTAGAAGGAGAAATGAAACAGTCATTTTAAAAAGATTTATAAATTCTAAAGATATTGACAAACATTTTTTAAATGAGGTGAATGTTATCCTACATTTATACTTTCTATTAATGTTTTATAAATAAACTGATTTATTATCATGAATTTTATAGTTAAAATCAAATCAATATTGTTATCAAATTATGCATCATATTATTAAAACTTATGGTTTTACAAAAGATCCTGAATTAGATGATTATATACTAGTAATGCAATATGCAGAAGATGGAGATTTACACAAATGGTTACAAAAAAGTTTTGCAAATATTACGTGGAATAAAAAAAAATTAATTATTTTATGGCAAATTTCAGAAGGGTATTTATATTAATGCATTTATCACAATTACTTATGATAATTACTAATTTATTTATTCTATTTAGACTTGAAACTATTCATAAAGCAAATTTTATACATCGAGATTTTCATAGTGGAAACATATTATTTGGTTCTGCTGCATCTAATATCTCATCAACAGAATATGCAAAGTTTAGAGAAAGACATGAATGGAAAATTGGAGATCTAGGATTATCTCAACCTGCAAATAATACATCATCAAATAATGAAATATATGGAGTGATACCTTATATTGCACCAGAAATATTTAAAGGATCTTCATTTTCTAAAGAAACTGATATTTATTGTATGGGCATAATTATGTGGGAACTTACAACAGGTTGTAAACCTTTTGCTAATGAAGAGCATGATATTCAGCTTGTTTATAAAATTCTTGATGGAGAACGACCAGTAATTACAGAAGATACACCAGAATGTTATGCAAATCTAATGAAAAGTTGTTGGAACCCGGACCCTAAAAAAAGACCATCCATAAAGAAAGTTCGCAATACTCTTGGTAGTTGGTCTTTTAGACATAAGCATAATGAAGTATTTAATCAAGCTGAATCAAAAAGAATAGAGCTAATAAATTCAGGAAAGCTTGGACCCGAGTTTAGCGAAAAACCTCACCCAAATGCTATTTTTACAAGTAGACTATTAACTTCTTTTATTTCTGAATGTTCATCTATCAATTCCTCTAAAGGTATGTATTAAAAAAGCATAAACATATAAATGCAATAAATGTAAGTTTCTAAACAATTAACAAATAAATATTTGAATGAATATATGATTTCAATTTATAGGTTACACTTCAATAGAAAATGATCTTGATATTGATATTGAAAGGTAATTAAAAAATTGAAAATTTTTTTTAAAAAAATTTAACAATTCAAATCTTTTTAATTAAATAATCATTTATATAAAATAGATCAAACGTAATTGGAACTAAACGAAATATTGAAGAATTAAATATAAATTCTCATGAAAATAATGGTAAGTATTTATTGATATAAAATTCTTTTTTATATTCGTTTTACACTTTTATTCATTTTTTTTTTTTTAATTTTAATTTTAAAGTAGGAAAATACATTAAAATTGAGTAATAGTAATCAAAATATAGATTGGGAAATCAAATTACGAATAATATTTTTGCGTTTCTTGATGAATATTGTATTTCATATTTATTTTCATATTTGATAATCAAATATCATAAAATATTTAACTATATATTAATTTTTAACATTTAATAAATTTATAATTTATGCAATCAAAATTTCGAAATTATTCTGAATAATATATTAAAATAAAATACAAAAATTAAATTCTACATAACTTCGCCACAATGGTTTTTTGACGTTTAACATATTGCACGTGACATTTTTCTGGTGTTCACGTTACACATTCCAAAATTTCTTTCTATAAATAAAAAACAGGATTTAATACAAGTTATTAAAGTTATGATCTTCCAGAACAAAAGCACTATTATATATATATATTGAATTGTTTTAAATAAATTTACTCCGACCTTTTTTTTATTTTTATTTTTTTTTAAAAAAAAAAAAAAAATGGTTTCAAAATTCCATTCAAGCCTTTCAGAATCCCTTTCATTAATGTTAAATGATTCAGATGATCATAATGTAATAATTCAAGTTGGAGAAAATCAAAATATAAAAGAATTTCGTGCACATTCAAATATTCTTAGAGCTCGTTCACCTTATTTTAAAGGTGCGTTCTCAACCGGATGGATTTCTAAAAAAGATAATATGATTGAATTCAAAAAACCAAATATAAGTCCTACCGTTTTCGAAATGATTCTTAAGTAAGCAAAATAATTATAATAGTTAAATAATAATATTTAAAAATAATGATTTATATAAAAAAAAAAAATTTTTTTTTTTTCCATTTACACAATAAATAAAGATATATATATGCAGGTGAAGTGGATTTAACTAAGCAACCAGGCGAAAATATTCTTGGATTGTTAGTTGCATCTGACGAGTTGCTTCTTGAAGAATTATTGAATCACGTTCAAGGCTATTTGATTGAAAAACAATCAACATGGATTGAAAAAAATTTTGTTCTTGTCCTTCATACAGTCTTCAAACTTTCTAATTGTAAGAAACTGCAAGATCATTGCCTTGAATCTATCTGCGCTGACCCACAGCCATTCATTACTTCAAAAGATTTTCCATCACTTGATAAAGATATTCTCTACGGCTTGCTTAAACGAGATGATTTAAACATTGAAGAAAGTGTTGCTTGGGATTCTTTAATTAAATGGGGTATTGAACAAACTCCTGGTTTGGGAAATAGGAACAACGATAGAACCAAATGGAATAATGAAAATTATGAAGCATTGAAGAAAACTTTAAATAAATTCACTCCTCTTATTAGATTTACTGCAATTAGTTCTGCTGATTTTTTCGATAAAGTTCGTCCATATAAGGCAGTTATTCCTCATCATATTTACGAGGAAGCTATGGAATTTTATATGAAGAATACTTCCCCAAAGACAACGACTTTACCTCCACGTTCTGGAAATGCCCGAATCGAATCAAAACTTATTAAACCAAAACTTACTAACATAATTGCTGGTTGGATCGAAAGAAAAAATGGAAAAAACCGATCGCTCAATAAAAAGTATAAGTTTGATCTTCTTTATCGTAGTAGTCAGGATGGAAATTATGTTAATACATTTCGAAATAAATGTAATAATCAAGGTCCATGTTTAGTACTAGTCAAACATCAACAATCAGCAAAGATTTATGGAGGATATAATCCGCTTGGTTTTACACATGATGAACAATGGGATGATCAATGGCTTTATACATCTGAAAGTTTTATATTTTCTTTTGAAAATAGTGAAGATATTCAAAATATGAAAATAGGTCGTGTGAATAATAGCAGTTATGCAATATACGAATATTATAACACTGGATTTAATTTTGGAAGTGTTCTTTATATGAGTGGTCAACTAATATATTTTAATAATTCAGGCTATTATAAAAATGTTAATAATGTTTTAAGCCCATATCTGAATATCAATTTTGTTCCAGAGGAAATAGAAGTATTTAAAATAACTACTTCATAGTTATATAGGTCCCTTTTACATAAATACCATTATTGTAATACTTTGTTTATGTAACAACCATAAATAAAATATTTAATATTATTTATTTATCAAGTACAACTAACCATTAATAATTGAATATTTGTCTTTTTTACAATTAGATGGGGAGTACAGCGAAATAATTTCAATTAATAGCTGCATCCTCGTTAATTAAAAGCGTAATGCAAATAAAGAGTGGATAGGATTCGTCTTTTCCGGAGTTCTTTGGAATGGTAAATCCCTAAATCATTATATAAATCATTGAAAAATATAAATTACATTATATCTATTGATTTCAAAAAATTAAGTAATTAATACTTTGCAAGATATTCGTGATAAATCTGTAACGGACATTTATTTAATTACAATATAAAAATATAATCGCACTATCGTTGCACTACCATGGTCTTAAATATATTCAAGAAAATTTACAATCAACTTTAGTTCTTCTACAATTAAACGATGACTATATTACGGAGGAAGTAACTAGTATAATATGATGATGTTCCATCAAAATCGCATAAATTAGTTTAATAAATTATTAGAATTGCAACTAACAAAATTTAATCAAATGATAATAAATGTAAATTATAAAGTAAAAATAACTTCATCGAAAATATTTGTGCTTCTTTGAAATAGGTAAAGTTTATTTGGAAAATCTTTTTTGTTTTTTAACGAAATTAAGAAATTATAAGATCGTGAAAAATTAAAGTAATTAAATCCATCCATTAATCGATCATAATTTTACTCCCTCTTCTTTTGTAAAGTAGAACTTTCAGGATTAAAAGAACAAACTATTAACGCTATAATACTTCCAATTACATGACCGATGTAAGCACTAATCACACAAGAAATAGGCCATTCCTAAATACAATTTAAATATTAGTAATCGAGTAACCGTATAATATTTTTAAGTTTTTTTTCTTAATTAATTTAATTACCTGCCATGGTCTATCCCAATCCAATGGTATAACTATAGCACCCGCCCATGCACCTATTATCGTACCAACAGTTGGATAATAAACCATCTTTTCTGGAATTGTTTCAGGACTGAAAAAAAAACAAATTGTTTAAATTAATTGTTCGATAATAAATAAATTATTATTATAAATAAAAAATTATTTAATTACCAGAAATCAGAAAATACTCTTGACCAATAAGGAGTATGATTTTTAAAAGCAACAGCCGGAGGAAATATTCCTAATAATGATACATATACTGCGAACATCAATGTTTTTTGTGCGTTACTATTAAAATTAAAAATTTGTTTATTTTATTGTTAATAAAATCTCTTTTTTTTAACTGAAATTTTTAATTAATATTACTTACTGAATTAAAGAAGCACCGAATAAAATAGCCACAATATGTAATACGAAAACAGCAAAGGCAGTTAAAAGCAATGCTACAATAAAATTCTAAAAAAAAATAGAAAAAATAGAAATTAGATTAAAATCAAAAATCAAAAAAGAAAAGAAAATATATAAAATTTTTTTTTTTCCTCATTTTACCTGTCCTTTATTTTTTACGAAATTTATCAGAAAAACTTTTGAATTTTTTCTAGTTTCATAACCACCATTACTAGAATCATAATATAAATAAATTAACCAACGAATAGTTTCAATTATAAATTGAACGAAAAATAATAATAAATTAGTTGACTTTAAACTTTCTACGGGATCTTTTAATAAATTTTGTTGTGGAATATAAAATAAACATAACGTTGAAAATGTTAATTGTATAATAGTGATTAAACCATGCGTTTTAAAGTGAAATTTTATTGTATTATCTTCATAATTTGTTGATATAGATGGTGACGGAATTTCCGATGAAAAAGATGATGACGATGATGATGCTGTTGTGCGATTACGAGACATTTTTTGAACAGAAAAAAATTGGATTTTTATGGAAAAAAAAATCAGACTTACCAAAATTGGTTAATCCGTGTAATTCAAAAGCCACAAAATGATCTATGAAAGGGTAACCGAAGATCGTATTTCAATGTGTAATGATTCAAACTATTTTTTTTTAAAAAAAGACTCTAAATTTCACTTCGATATTTTTATTAATGCGATGATTATTATAATGCGATTATTTAAAGTTAAAACAATTAAAGAATATTAATATTTTCAATGCTTCGTTCACAAAATTTCACAATTGTATTTAAAATGATCGATTTAAAAGATTTAAAAACATCTTTCTCTCCAAATAATAAACGATAGTATATAATGCACAATATATTAAGAAATCAGGCGTAATCTTTCTTATGTTGATGAATTACTTTCTCGATGAATGATTTATTTTATACACGTTCAAGATCATTTAAAATATAGAATTTGAATTTACGAAAATTTTTAACATTGTTTAATTTAATTTGTCTATTTGGAAATTACAAGAATTTACTTTTAAATCCATAACAATTTATCACTTTATGAATTTTTTTAAAAAATTCTATTTGTTTTATGATTCATAAAAATATTCGATTAAATGAGGTATTGAAAGTTCTAAACTTCGAACAATGATAGTCATTCATATCGGTTTTTTATATTTTGAAAAAGTTTGTCTATATAAAAACTATTATATTTATGATATGTTTGTCGGATTCTACTTTAATAATGACCACGATTTTTCCACCACGAACTTAAACCATCAAGACTACGTTACGTAATTTTTTAAACTATCCCTAAACTAAATACTAAATATGAATAAATATTTAGTAAATTAACATCGACCAATAGTACTAATACATCCAATAAATTAATAATTTTAACCGATCAGTACGATCAGTAAATAATTACTTCATAAAAAAGCCTTAATTATAAAGTAGCTTAACTTACAACATCATAATTATGTCATCCTAAATATTATGCTACATATGTTAAATCACATATGATTAATCAATTGGCGCCTCGTTTTAGAAAAATATTTTTCTAAAGTTAAAATAATATTATTAAATATTTTTAAATATTATAATATGAGAAATTCTAGTAGATTAAAATTAGACATTAAAAATTATGAAAAAATATTATCAGGAAAAATTATCCGATATACAAATCTCGTAAAATTAATTAAAAATAATATTTGGCTTCTTACAATTTCACCCATTGGTTGAAAAGGATATTAAATTATTAAAGCTTAATTTTAACAAATGAGTATAATTTTAGTGTAAAATTTTTATTAAAAAAGACTTTTATATCAGGAAGCGTTATCCAGATATCCGGTTGTATCAAAAGTGACTAACAATACAATAATGGAATATACGGTATATATTTCAATAATTATGGTAATATTGGCAGTTAAAATAACTATCGTACTTCGTGATTTATAGTATTACCGTACGATACTGTATGTAAGAAGAAATTTTACCCTTATTAGTTATTGTAAGTAACCTCAGTTTACGACTAAAGTCATTGAAATTAAATTTATTCATTAAACATTTGTATCTAAATGAATTCATTTTTAGCTTTGAGACAAATTATCCGGATATGATGTGTATGGTGTAATACCCGTTCCCCTATTTTACCCGTGAATTCGGAAATAATTAGACCTATAATGTTTTTAATTCCGCAGTTATTTCGTATTATGTAACGATTGTAACGAATGTAACGTGATTGATAAGCCTATATTTATTTATGTAATAATTCATTAGTAATCTCACAAATATTTATTACCATTCTATCAAAAACGAAAATTGATGAACAATTAACACTTTTATCATATTATTTATTCAATGATAAATTAAGGTGTAAATATGACATAATATAATTTCGTATACATCCAAATACTTTGAAAAAAATATTCTTATCCGTTATAAATTTTTTTGAGAAAAAATATAATTGATGTAAAAAAAATTGTATTCTTTTTACTTTTTTTAAAAAATCAAATATTAGAAACTAGACAGTATGCGTAAAAAAAAAATTCATAATAAAAATTATATTCATATAGAATAAGTCGATTTATCAAACGAAAATTTATCCGTAAACTGCTGATGGACTTTTCGAGAAATTATTTATATTAAATTAATCCCGAGTTTAATAATAATTTTGATCTCCTACATTAAATTTCATAATTGTAAGAAAATTGCGTGATTATTATATTTTCTATCAAATTATTTAATCGAGATTTTAATCTCATGATTTGAAATTTTTTTAATTACAACAATTACCAAGTTCTAAATTTTATATCAAAATTCGCTCATTATGCTTGTAAGAATGTCTCCTATTGATTGTTTGACTTTTGATAAAGTTCGTCCTAGTTGAGTTGCCATATATGACCGTTAAATTCTATTAATATAATACTATACAAAACTCGCAACTTTGTCACCACGAATTTAATATAATCGCGTCTTTTTATCAATAATAAAATCCCTATTAAATCATTCAGAACAAAATTTAAATATAAAAATCAACGAAAAAAAAAAATATTCTGTGGTTAGTTATACTTTGATTGAATTTTATTGTTATAGCAACGATAATTATAGATTATTTACTACTTTACTAGGAAATTTTTAATTATCAAAGCTACAAGATATCGATAAATTACTGCAAAGATATCGATAAAGTAATTATTATTCGGCAGAAGTCGTAATTATAAAATACAGGTTAGCTAATCTTATTTACATCTTAAGCCTAATTATGTAATTTTTTTCATCCCTCAATTTGTAGGAAATCATATGATTCATACATCATACACGAGATAAAATGAATCCTGACTCCTGATTGGATTAATTAAGGTTATTTAGCGCCTTATTTTGAAAAAAAAACCAACAAAAAAAGCTTATTTTGAATTACTATGTAAGTAAAATTTCATCATATTACGTGATACTACAGCGTGATAATGTATTTAAAAGTAAATATTAACAGGTTAATTGCACAATTCATTTACAAATATTGTAAATAAATGAATTGAATCTATTTAAATAATCTTTTTTTTTTGTGATTTTTTTTTTTTTACTTATCGTAAAAAAAATGGATTTGGATTCAAAATTTTACGTCTATCTTTCACAAGATCTTTCGTTAATGTTGGATGATGCAGATGATTATAATGTCATCATTCAAACTGGAGAAGGCCAAAACATAAAAGAATTTAGTGCACATTCAAATATTTTAAGAGCTCGTTCACCTTATTTTAAGAGTGCACTTTCAACAAAATGGATTACCAAAAAAAATAATATGATTGAATTTAAAAAACCTAATATTCGTCCTACTGTTTTTGAAATAATTCTCAAGTATGTATGATCTTTTTCTCGTCTAAATAACTTATTATTTTGATTTATAACGTAAATTAATCTTTTTTTTTGTTCAATGATAAAATAAAGGTATATTTATACAGGTGAAGCGGATTTATCCAAACAATCAGGAGAAAATATTCTTGGAGTTTTAGTCGCGTCCGATGAATTATTAATCGATAAATTATTTAAATATGTTCAAGATTATTTAATTGAAAAACAAACAAATTGGGTTAAACAAAATTTTGTTCTTGTTCTTCATACGGTCTTTAAACTTACTAGTTGTAAGAAATTACAAGATCATTGTGTCGAATCTATATGTGCAGATCCACACCCATTTGTTACTTCAAAGGATTTTCCATCTCTTGATAAGGATATTTTTTATGAATTACTTAAACGAGATGATTTACAAATTGAAGAAGCTGTCGCTTGGGATTCTTTAATTAAATGGGGTATTGAACAAACTCCTGGTTTAGGAAGTAAGAATAATGATAGAACTAAATGGAATAATAATAATTATGATGCATTAAAGAAAACTTTAAGCCGTTTTATTCCTTTAATTCGATTTGTGGATATTTCTTCTGCTAATTTTTTTGATAAAGTTCGTCCTTATAGAGCCGTTATCCCTCATCATATTTATGAAGAGGTAGCCGAATTTTATTATAAAAATAATTTACCAAAAACCACAACTTTACCTCCAAGAAATGGAAAGATCCGAATTAAATCAGTACTTATTAAACCTGAACTTGCTAATATAATTGCTGGTTGGATCGAAAGAAAAAATGGAAAAAGCCCATCGCTCGATAAAAAGTATAAGTTTGATCTTCTTTATCGTAGTAGTCAGGATGGAATCAATCACAATACATTTCGAAATAAATGTGTTAATCAAGGTCCATATTTAGTATTAGTCAAACATCAACAATCAGCAAAAATTTATGGAGGATACAATCCAATCGGATTTATAAACTCTGGTAATCAATGGCGTAGTACAACTGAAAGTTTTATATTTTCTTTTGAAAATAGCACAGATATTCAAAATATGAAAATAAGTCGTATAAATAATAACTATTATAATTATGCAATATACGAATCTTCCAGTTATGGATTTAGTTTTGGTAACACCTTTTATATGAATAGCGACAAACGAATATATTGTAGTAATAATGGCTATTATGATGGTAATCTTAATAATGTTTTAAATCCACACATAAATCAAAATGGCTATTTTGCTCCAGAGGAGATTGAAGTATTTAGAATAACCACTACATGATTTTATGATATATTGTATATATTCCTGTGTGTTCGGTTATGTAAGAAGAATTTTAGGTTATACGTTATAACAATTCGCACGTTGTATCCTATTTCATAATAAATAAATTGTAACGTCAAATTTACATAACTATCATTTATATGGTAATCATTATTATTGATTTTTTTTTTCTAAATGAATTATCACGAATTTTATCTATCTTTAGCTTACACGAAAGGTAATACTCGATCTTTCCTTGCCGTAAATCCGGCAATAATTTAATTGATAAAAGTTATATTTATATTTACATTTTATTACGCAGTTATTTTTCTAAATGTACCATTCCGAAATTACACCACCATTTTTTTGAACTTAATTCCGGCCTAAGTGGTCGTAATTCTGGTCAAAATCATCATAATGCGGGCTAGGGTTGTACGGTATTATTTTACTTTAACAAGCTTTCTGTCACTCATGATGTGTATCTAATTATTTTATTATTATAAAGTTACTTAATTAGGTAATTTAGTTATGGTTATTCATTATTGCAACTTTCCAATTAATTGCAGCAATTATAATTCGACCGAAAATTTTATTTATTAGACAAATCCTTTTTTTCGGTCGAACAGCTCACGCGAGAAAATCCGACCTAAAAGAAATAAGTCTAACTAAATAAAAACAAACTCCAGACATCATCAACTAAAATTAATGATCATACTGATCCGGAGGAAGTGGTTGAAACCGTGAATAAATTTGGAGAAGATAACAATGGATCGAAAGGAAAAGTGGAGAAAGATAAGCGTAAAATATCAAGACAAATTTTCCATCAAAAATTGTAGAAAGTCAATCAAGTAATAGGAAATCAACACAAGGCGAGTTAAAAGAATTTGATCAGTTTGAAATTAATGATCATACTAGTCCGGAAGAAGTGGCTAAAGTCGGGAATAAATTTGGAGAAGATAAAAATGGATCGAAAAGAAAAGTGGAGAAAGATAAGCGTAAAATATCAAGACAAATTTTCCATCAAAAATTGTAGAAAGTCAATCAAGTAATAGGAAATCAACACAAGGCGAGTTAAATCAGTTTAATACAGTCTGTTCGACGAGACTCTCGATTAAGTAAGAAGAGGAAGACCAAAATGTTAGGACAAAACGTGCAAAAACTGGGAAACACAAACAGAAATTTAGAAGGATGAAAGCGAAGAAGTAAAAAGAGATTAGTTATTTTAATAAATAATAATATAAAAGAAGGATTTCTTTATGTATGATAGTCACACAAAATTAGAGTAGTAACAAAAATTTTAAAGAAAATTTTTTCTTGATACGAGGGATCCTACTTGTCACATGATTTCGCGATTATGTAAATTTAATATGTAAAATATGTAAACGTAAAAATTTTTATAATTTTGCTAATTTTTATTACATGAATATACAATAAATTTGTCATTATCCCAATTTCCTTATTTATATACTTTTAACTAACTCATAAACCAAATATCCTGACCTAACGGCTAACCCTAACGCAATAATAACGCCACGCATGACGCACCGCACTGACTCTAATCCTAAATTCCTAATGCAACAATAGCATCACGCACTGACCCTAACCCTAACGCGATAATAAATCCTAACCTTAATACAACAATAGTAATATCATGTACCCTTAATATCCTTCTCTAAGATAAGCATTTTCTTTATCATCTTTGCATTCTTTTCAGGGCAATTTCATAAATCATGATACAGACTATGGAACATTGTTTCTTGTCTGATTTGTATTCTACAGCAGATTGGTGAAAAGGAGAGTTATCATTTTTCTTGTATCCAAAGCTTCTTCTTGAACATTTTCAATTCAGGTTCATTGTCAATATCACTGAGTTCATTATCATTTTCGTACGATATGGGGTATCGTTCATCTAAATAAATATATTAATAACATTTATTTTAGCAACTTAAATTAAAAAGAAAAAACAACTTACGTACGTTAAAAGTTTTAAAGGAAAGAATATTTTTATAATCCACGTGAACAAGATTATTTAAAGGAAAGAATATTTATGAACGCGAAATTCAATAATCGATAATCATAATATCACGTGACAATTTACAAAACATGTGAAATAGGGTTACGTATATCCTTTAGTACAAACCTATTATTTACAATTTTAAAAATAACTGGCGGTAGTGACTTATATGTTGATGTGGTCTGCACTTTTTTAGGGTTAGCAATCTTTATTTCGTACACTGCTCTGTTCTGCATAATATTAAAAAATAAAAAGCAATTTTAAAAATAGTTTAGTTATTAGAATAGTGTATTGTTTGTAATTTATATGATAACGTATAAATAGTCTAATTTAGCGCAGAAACAAAAATTTTGGAAGTGGTTAAGGATTGTTATCAGATATGTATTTGTGATACAAGCGCATGTTATTGTGTTTATATATTGTTTTAAATTCCAGTTGATCAGCTGTGGCTTAATAATTGTTTGCGTGATACTTTTTTTATTAATATAAAAAAGAATTACTAAAATAATAAAATAATAAATACTTTTTAGTATAATAAAAGATGTTAGTTCATGTATATCTAACCAAAACTAAAATAGAGATTGTAAAAAAAAATTTTTACACACGTTGAACCTTATTCGTAAAAAGCTGATTACCGAAGCATAAAAATCATAAAGCCAAGCATAGAATAGGATAAGATAAGAACATGCACATGCGTATGCATATAATAGTTATAATATGTTACAACAATCTTTAGATATGGCACAAACTTTTCAGCATTCTCTTCATTTTATAAAAAAAAAAACATTCACAAAGGATAATTATAGAAGTAATGGAATGAATAGCAATTACAAAGCGCTAAAGGAAGGTTTATTATACCTCATTATATTTGTTAATATCACCACTATGTTGAATCGCATTCTTTTAAATTCAGCAGAAATCGTGAGTATAAAATGAATGTAAGATAATCTTAATTAATAACATAAGCCAAATTATGTAATTTTTTTCATCCTCAATCTGTAGGAAATCACGAGATAATAAAATTTAATGCTTACTTAAACGAATCCTTACCCATGATTGGATTATTTAAAGTTATTTAGCGCCTTATTTTGAAAACAAAAAAAAAGCCTATTTTGAATCTCCAAAAAACTTATAACTATGTGATACTCTGGCGTGGTAAATTTATATAAAATTAATATTAAGCGTTTTTTTTTTTTTTTTTAAAAAAAAAAAAAAAATGAGTACAAAATTTCATTCCGAACTTTCACAAGATATTTCATTATTGTTGAATGATACAGATGATTATAATGTGATTATTCAAACTGGAGAAGGCAAAAACTCAAGAGAATTTCGTGCACATTCAATTATTTTAAAAATTCGTTCACCTTACTTTAAGAACTTATCAACAAAATGGGTTGTCCAAAAAAATAATATGATCGAAATTAAAAAGCCTAATATTCGACCTACCGTTTTTGAAATAATTCTTAAGTAACGTAGCTTTTTATTCTTAAGAATTCATAAATATTATTTATGTGCAACTAATAATTTTTTTTTTTTTTTTGATATTAAATAAAGGTACATTTATACGGGTGAAGTGAATTTAACTAAGCGACCGGGAGCAGATATTCTTGGGTTATTAATTGCAACAGATGAGCTTCTTCTCGAAAAATTATTTAGACATGTTCTAAATCATTTAATTAAAAATCAAACAGCCTGGATTAAACAAAATTATGTTCATATTCTTCATACGATTTCTAAACTTTCTAGTTGTAAGAAATTGCAAGATCATTGTATTGAATCGATCTGCTTAGATCCACAACCACTTATTACTTCAAAAGAATTTCTGTCACTTGATAAGGATATTTTATACGAATTATTTAAACGAGACGATTTACAAATTGAAGAGACAGTTGCGTGGGATTATTTAATGAAATGGAGTATTGAACAAACACCTGGTCTAGGAAGTAAAAATAACGATAGAACTAAATGGAATGACAACAATTATAAAGCATTAAAGGGAACTTTAAGTAAATTTATTCCACTTATTCGGTTTGCGGAAATACCTTCTGATGACTTTTATGATAAAGTTCGTCCATACAAAGCTGTTCTTCCTCTTCATATTTATGAAGAACTTGTTTTATTTTATTACAAAGATACTTTACCAAAATCCATAACCTTACCTCCACGTGTTGGTAAAGTCAAACTCGAATCAAAATTAATTAACCCAAAACAAGCTAATATAATTGCTTGTTGGATCGAAAGAAAAAATGAAAAAAACGCAACGCTCGATAAAAAGTATAAGTTTGATCTTCTTTATCATAGTAAACAGAATGGATTAAATATTAATACGTTTCGAAATAAATGTAATAATCAAGGTGCATGCTTAGTGTTAGTCAAAAGTCAACAATCAGCAAAAATCTATGGAGGATACAATCCAATTGGATTTACGAACTCTGGTGGACAATGGCGTGGTACGACTGAAAGTTTTATATTTTCTTTTGAAAATAGCGAAGATATTCAAAATATGAGAATAAGTCGTATAAATAATGGCTATAATAATTATGCAATATACGATTACAACATTTACGGATTTAGTTTTGGCAACAACTTCTATTTGAATAGTGACAAACGAATATATTGTAGTTATAATGGCTATTATGATGGTAATCTTAATAATGTTTTAAATCCATACTTAAATAGCAATTTTATTCCGGAGGACACTGAAGCCTTTAAAATAACTACTACGTGATTATGATAAGTTACATATATTCTTGTGTTTTCGGTTATTTAAGAAGAATTTTAGGTTAGAAATTATTGTATCCTATATAAATTGTATTGATTAAAATCATTAAAATTAAATATATAACTATTATAAATGAATTAGCACGAGTTCGATCTTATCTTTAGCTTACATGTCATTTCTTGCCGTAAATCCGGTAAAATTTTATGTTCACATTTTATTACGCAGTTATTTTCGATAAAAATGTCGAGCTTTCTATGGCATTTCGGTTTTGTGGGCGCGGTTTCTACTTTATGCACGATGCCGATCCTGCTGTAAATCGTATAAATAATCTTCACGTGATCATATAAAACCACGCCCACAAAACACCGGGTGTGTCTATTTATTTTATTGCAACTTTCCAATCAGTTAGAATTCGGCCGAAAATATTTCTAACAGTCGATTGGCTGAACCTAAAAAAAGGTCCAACTAAATAAATGAAAGGTTAAATTCCAATTAATAGTTTGATTATTAATTGTCGCTTATTTTTTTTTTTATTAAATGTATTATTATAAAAAAAAAGTTCCATACTAAAATAATAAGTACTTTTTCGTATAATAAAAGATATTAGCTAATCGAAACATAAAGAATTTTTTTTTTTTTTTTTAGAGTTAAAAAACTTTATTTGTAAAATGATTACAAATAAGATAGGATAGGAATAGGCATATGCGTATGCATACAATATGTTAAGAATATTTGGACTATAAATGGCGATTAATCTAACTAAAACTGAAAACTCTTAGTCATTATATGATCATTACATTAAAATCAAAAATTTACGAGAAATTCTCTTTATGACTAAATAATGAAGCCATTCAAAAACTCCTGGTTGGATAACTATAGAATTAATGGAATGAATAGCAGTTACGAAGCACTAAGCAAATTTTGTTATATTTTCAATATTAATATATATCATCGTAAGTTTAATATGTTCAATCGTATCCTTTAAATTCAGCAACAGAAAATCGTGAGTATAAAATAAATGCAAGATAATCTAATTTACAACATAAACCAAATTATGTAATTTTTTTCATCCCTCAATCTGTAGGACATCACGAGGTAATAAAATTCAATGCTAAATACTGACGCCTAATTGGATTATTTAAAGTTATTTTAGCGCCTTATTTTGAAAACAAAAAAAAAGCTTATCAAAAAACTCAATTAATCAAAAATATGTGATACTATGGCGTGGTAAATTTTTTAAAAATTGACAATGTAATTAACAAGTGAGACCTCATTAAATTTATTTAAACGACCGTTCTTTGTGCTCTTTTTTTTTTTAAAAAAAAAATGGATACAAAATTTTACGACGATCTTTCACATGATTTTTTGTTAATGATGAATGATGCAGAAGATTATAATGTGATTATTCAAACCGGAGAAGACCCAAACATAAAAGAATTTCGTGCACATTCAAATGTCTTAAGAGCTCGTTCACCTTATTTTAAGAGCGCGCTTTCGACAAAATCTATTACTAAAAATAATAATATGATTGAATTTAAAAAACCTAATATTCGTCCTACCGCTTTTGAAATAATTCTCAAGTATGTGGTTTTTTCTTGTCTAAAAAAAATTATAATTTTGATTATAACGTAATTAATATTTTCGTTTAATGGCAAAATAAAGGTATATTTATACAGGTGAAATGGATTTATCCAATCATTCAGGAGAAGATATTCTTGGAGTTGTAGTCGCGTCGGATGAACTACTTCCCGAGAAATATTTTAAATATGCTCAAGACCATTTAATTGGAAAACAAGCAAATTGGATCAAGCAAAATTTTATTCTTATTCTCCATACAGTCTTCAAACTTCCTAGTTGTAAGAAATTGCTAGATTATTGTGTCAACTCCATCTGCGCAAATCCACAACCATTTATTACTTCAAAGGACTTTCCATCACTTGACAAGGATATTTTTTATGAATTACTCAAACGAGAAGATTTGCGAATTGAAGAGGCAGTCGCTTGGGAATCTTTAATTAAATGGAGTATTGAACAAACTCCTGGTTTAGGAAGTAAGAATGACGATAAAACTAAATGGAACGACAATAATTATAAAGCATTAAAAAGAACGCTAAGTCATTTTCTTCCTCTAATTCGATTTGTGGAAATTTCTCATGCTGATTTTTATGATAAAGTTCGTCCCTATAAAGCTGTTATCCCTGAAAATATTTACGAGGAGATTTCCGAATTCTATTATAAAAATACTTTACCAAAAACTACAACTTTTCCTCCACGAAAATTAAAGGTCCGAATTGAATCAAAACTTATTAGACTAAAACTTGCTAGTATAATTGCTGGCTGGATCGAAGGAACAGATGGAAATTACTTATCATATAAGTACAATTTTGATCTTCTTTATCGTGGTAGTAAGGATGGGATTAATACTAACACATTTCGAACTAAATGTAATGATCAAGGTCCATGTTTAGTATTAGTCAAATCTCAACAATCAACAAAAATTTATGGAGGATACAATCCACTTCAGTTTACAAATGATAGCGGACAATGGAAATATACACATGAAAGTTTTATATTTTCTTTTGAAAGTGGCAAAGATATTCAAGATATGAAAATAAGTCGCGTGAATAGCGCTAGTTATGCAATATACGAGTGTTCCAATTATGGATTTAGTTTTGGAAATACTTTTTATATGAATAGCGATCATAAAATATATTTCAATAATAACCAAGGCTATTATGATGATAAATTTAATAATATTAGAAGTCCATACGTAAATCAAAATGACAGTTTTGTTCCAAAGGAAATTGAAGTATTTAAATTAACTAAAGCTTCGTGAGATAGTTAATATTGTATATAAAAAAAATAACGTTATTTATATAGGATTTTTACACCCGATTCTCGTTAATAAAGAATTGCTATCAAAGTTTAACCAATATATGATATTGCAATTTATTTTCTGACATCTTTTTCCAGTACCAAAATTAGTAAATTTATGCGCCACATTTCCAAAATTCTGGTCGGTTTCATTCATACAATATATAAAGCGAAGCAACTCATTTCAAAGATAATAATTACTTACCAGGTTTTCCATAAACAAATAAGAAATATGAATTTTATCATAAAGTAAAATATTTAAATAAATTTATAATTATGATACTTAAGTTCTATAATAACCCAAAAATTCTGTTAAATAATTTTGTATCTGCAAATTGTTTAATTTCTCAAAATCACTTTTAATTTTGCAAAAAATATTAAAAATTACGTACAATTATTGTTATCCTATGTTCGATATGAAATTACAGACGCGGAAGAATCTAGTTTAACTAAAATGTCTTCTCGCATTTAAACCCGAAATTTTAATTTTTGAGCATTCGATTTATCTAAAAGATTTAAATTTGTAAAAAAAAAAAATATTTCTGTGTAACTAATGTCTCTATATCCGATAATAAGAAAAAACGTACATTTATAAATGATTCATTCAACGATTAGGACGATTAGGAACGGATGTTATTTTGGTTTATTAATGTATTCATATACGATAAAATTCTCGAGAAATTACTTAATAAAAATGTTTAAGATCTAGGTTAAAAATGATTTACTCTTCTTATTCTTCAAACTTTCTATTATGAACGGTAAGTAATACAATTAAAAAGTTTTTTAGCGAAGATTTTCAAAATATGGAAAATAGTCGTGTGTACTGGTGATAGTCTTAATTTGTAATTCAAGTTTTATGATAATGTCGGTAATTTTAAAATTTAAATCATAAAACTGGTTATTTAATAGAGTTATTGTGCTTTGTGTCACGTATAACGATATTATCGTGTGACCCATTGTATGGACTTTAGCTTAATTATAGCTTAATTATAACTTATTTTTGATTTACGAAAATAACAAAATTATCGGCAATTATATTTGATATACGGAGCACGATAATTATAAGTGATTATTCTTTCTTCTAAATATAGAAAAATAATAAAATATTCGTAATGATTAATAAAAAAATCATTGCAATATCCTAATGATACTATTGTCACTTGACTTCGGCTGTTCGACGGTTACTTCAACCAATTACATGATTTACATGTGAGAATAGGACTAATCACTTCCGAACAAATTTTCCACCCCACGTTGAACTAAAAATATTCACCACTGGCATCACACCCCACAGCGTTTTTCACTGTTTATATTTATATGAGGGAATGCCTCCCAAAATTATTTTTTTCACATCCCCTAAAAAATGCACCGGTCACGTGGTAATTGTGGTGTTACAACAACCACTCTAGCGTCGCCTAGAAAAAATGGTAGCCGGATAGGTTTTCCGGGTTATATGTGATTCGGAAACTGATTTCCGGTTAGCTTATTAATTTTTATTATAACGTAGTAAAAAAAAAAAAACTTCTGAATAAATTAATACAGTAAATATTTAAAGTTTTTTCTGAAATTTTATTTTAATATTGCTATTATTTATTTTATTTATTCCCAATACATTGTATTTTTGTTAAAGTTTTTTCATGTTTTTGGCATTGTTCAACGGTTTTCTAGTGCTTTACTATCATTATTCATCTTTTCCAACAATCTGAAATTTTTGCAAACATTCTTTAACCATAGATGTCGTTTTGGTTTGTTATATGATTCTTTTAACAGTTCTTTAGCCTAAAAAATTTCTTTTGACATTATTAAAGATTAAAAATGCATCTGTATATGAAATTTATACGTAATATTAATATGCCTTGGTCGTGGATATAACATTTATGAGAATACTTAACTTTAATTAAGTCCAGTTTTGATAAGATTTCTATATTTATTGTTCCTTCACAATGGTACCATTCTAAATAGGTAGATGCGTCTCTTTGTTTATCTAATATAGGATGCTTTACTTGCCGTTTTCCAAGCTCAATTCGACAATTGCAATAATATAATATATGAAGAGAGTATTTTTTTTATTTTTATTCCGATAAACCATGAATAGCCATCACGGCATCACCTTCCGAAATAAGTGTTATTACAGAAAAGATGATAATTCAATATCAAGATCAAGATTTAACTCCACATTTTCACCTTCATAATGTTCGTTAGTATCATTTAGAGAAATTAAATAATTAATTATTGTGTTCAGATTGTTCAGTATTTTTTTTAAACGAGCAATTTTAAGTTTATCTCGGCAGTGCAAACATTTTTTTAAAGTAACACCTTTATCATTTAGAAAATTTTCATAGCTTTGACGAATATGACATCTTTTACAAGTTCTATTTTCCTGGTTTGACATTAGTAAAATAAGAAAGAAAAGAAAAGGGTTTATAGTGACGTGTTTGGCGAGATATTGATGAAAAGGTAAAAAGGTAAAAAATTATCAATTTGTAATTAATGTAACCGGAAATCAGTTCCCGAATCACGTGTAGCCAGCGAACCTATCCGGCTACCATTTTTTCTAGGTGACGCTAGGTAAGTTGGTGTTACAACGGTAAATTCATCACATTTAAATACTTTTCGACAGAATGACCCGATTTTAATTTGAAATGACGTTAATAATTATTAATAAGCTCGTAAGAAGTTAAAAGGTCTAACTTTTGATTATATTATTTAAATACTAATCAATTTTTCTTTGTAGCTTTTATTTTATTACAAATATAACGCAATACTTGATTTTTTTTTTTTTTTTTAAAAAAAAAAAAAATGAATTCGAGATTTCATTCTGACCTTTCAAAAGATCTTTTGTTAATGTTAAATGATAAAGAAGATTATAATGTAATTATTCAAGTTGGAGAAAATCATAATATGAAAGAATTTCGTACTCATTCAAATATCTTAAGAGCTCGTTCACCTTATTTTAAGAGTGCACTTTCAGCTAAATGGACTACTAAAAGGAACAATAATAATTCTACAAAGAACAATATTATTGAGTTTAAAAAACCAAATATTGATCCTAAAGTTTTTGAAATTATTCTTAAGTACGTGATATTTTTAATAAATATTTGATTGATTTTAAATAAAAGTCATTTTGATATAATTAATCCTTTTTTTTTAATTTAATAACAATGATAAAAGGTTTATTTATACGGGTGAAGTGGATTTATATAGGCAATCGGGCGAAAATATCCTTGGAGTTTTGGTTGCATCAGATGAACTTCTTCTCAAGAAATTATTTGATCACGTTCAAGATTATTTAATTGAAAGACAAACAAGCTGGATTAAACAAAATTTTGTTCATGTCCTCCATACGGTCTTCAAAATTCCCAATTGTGAGAGATTGAAAGATTATTGTCTTGAATCTATTTGCGCAAATCCTCAACCACTCATTACTTCAGAGGATTTTTCATTACTTGATAAAGATATTCTTCATAGCTTGCTTGAACGAGACAATTTGAATCTTGAAGAAATTGTTGCCTGGGATTGTTTGATTAAATGGGGTATTGATCAAACTTTTGGTTTAGGAAGCGAAAATAACGATAGAACAAAATGGGATGATGATGATTACGAAGCATTAAAGGAAACTATAAGTCAATTTATACCACTTATTCGATTTGTGGGAATTTCTCCTGCAGATTTTTATGATAAAGTTCGTCCTTATAAAGCTGTTATTCCTTATTATATTTATGAAGAAGTTACTGAATTCTATTATAAAAATGCCTTACCAAAGACCACAATTTTACCTCCACGATATGAGAAGACTCAAATCGAATCAAAACTTATTAAACCTAAACTTGCAGAGATAATTGCTAGTTGGATCGAAAGAAAAGACGGTAAAAATCTATCACCCCTATCATCCACGAAAACTTACAAGTTTGATCTTCTTTATCGTAGTAACCGAGATGGAATGAGTTACAAAACATTTCGTCTTAAATGCAAAGGCCAAGGACCATGTTTGGGATTAGTTAAAATGAAAAACAAAAACAAAATTTATGGAGGTTACAATTCACGTAACTTTTCGTATTCTAGAGTTGAATACTATAATCCGATTGGAAGTTTTATATTTTCTTTTGAAAATAGTGAAGATAATCATAATATGAAAATGAATCGTTTTAAAAGTGGCTTTTTTCCGCGCAATAAAGGATTTAATTTTGGTAATGCTATTTATATGAGTGGTCGATACGTACATTTTGATAGTAACCATGATAATAAAATTAGCAATGTATTAGACCTAGTGGATGTGAAGGATGAATGTATTCAATTTATTCCGGAGAATGTTGAAGTCTTTAAAGTAACTACTTCTTGATAGTGTTTATAATATATTGTATGTATTTTCTTTAACTGAATTCTTTATTTTGGTAGATAGATATAATAATACGCATTTTATGTAATAGTGTAGTAAATAGTAAATAGCTAAATAGCGTAGTACATGATGAAGAAAAATTACAAATTTGTAAATTTTGCAACCTAAAAGATTTATTGACAAAGCATTTCTATCAAAATAAATCAAATATAATTATTATAAATGATGTAATTAATATTTATTTCTATATTTGACTGCCATTTCACTGAAATGGATTATAAGAATTAAAGTAGAGTTTGATGATGTCGCTCACATGCAAAATTTCATAATTTCATAACTTCACAACCGAATCGTGAATTTCCAATGTCAGATGACTATATTTATATAAAAATTTAATTTGATTGGATATACATTTCAATCGTTTCATTATTTATCCAATCAAACTTATATTGTAATTGAAATAGTTGATAGCTAATTTATTAAATTACTCAAACAAAAATACTTAAAAAATTGACTGACTATCTTCATATCAAAAATTTTAATTTGATCGGATATGTATTTCTATCGTTTCAAACCTATATTGTAATTGAAAATTTGAAATATTTGACAATAAATTATTAAATTTCTTAATTAAGCAATAAAAAATGACTTGTTTCTTATTACAAAGCTTCGAAAAAAAATCCCTTTAAATGTAAGACATAACGTCGATAGTAATAGTAAACAAAATTCAATTAATTATCTTAATCGATTTCATTTTGTTCGTTTAATTATGTAATTTTCTTACGATCGTACGGTATATTAAGAAGAAAACTTTCTCATGTTATTTTACATAAATTGATATTTAATTACCTATTTATAATAAATGATCGGTTCTGATAAACGCGTAATATATATATTTATATATTCGAAAAAAAAATTAAATTAGACTACTAAAAGGAAGTGTATTTTTAAAAGAAGTGAAATCGGATTTAAGATATGATCTTAATGTTAATGTATAATAAAGTACGCAATTTTTTAAATTAAAATATCTAAAGATCACTTTGATATAATTAATCCTTTTATTTAACAACTATAAAAAGCAAATGAAGAGGATTTTATCCAAACAATCAAACGAAGATATTCTTGAAATTTTTGTTGCTTCGGATGAACTTATTATTCTCAAGAGATCATTTAATGGAAATTATTTAATTATGTTTAAGATAACTTTAATGAAAGTAAACAAGCTAAATAAATTTTGTTCTTGTTATCTATGTTGCAATATAGTTCATAAGGTTATATAATTATTTTCATGTACTGTAGTTTATTTTCTATGATACAAAAACAGAGTTGTACATCTAGATTTTTGATTTTGGAAAAAAAAATATGAAAAAAAAATTAAATACTAATTTTTAGTTAAAAAATTTTGATATTTTTATCAATTTAATGTTTTCAATTAAAATAATTGATTTATTTTATTTTTTGATTAAAAAATATCATATTTGACATTTTAAACTTAAAAAATGTTATACTGTTGACCTCCCTTATAAACAACTCATTATGATCCTCACCCGTATTTACAGTAGTTAAGATATGACGTCTTTCATCTTGTTCCTATTTCAGATTTATGTGTGGGTGGTGTGTATGTTTGTGCATTTTCTTGCTTTTTCCTCTTCCCCCTTTCCCTTTCGTCTTCTCTTTCCCTTTCGGTTTCTCCTTCCTTTCCCTTTCGTTTTCCCTTCCCTTCCGTTTTCACTTTCCCTTTCCCTTTCGTTTCCCCTTAGGACTACTAGCACATTGTTAACTATATGTTTTAAAAATCCTTTCGATCATATTCCTTTTTTTTTGTAACAATGATAATTTGCTATTTTTCGTAATCAATTTTTTTTGTTTAATAATTGGAACCAATTTCGATCACGATTTTTTGAGGCGATTAAATTCCTAATTTTAATATGTTTCCTGCTCTAAATTTTAATAATTATTAACATAGATATAAAATAAGATAGAATAAATAACATCGAAAGTCAGATAAATATTTACCACTATCGTTATGAATTTCTAGAACTTAAATTTTGTGATGTTAAGCTAAATAATAAATAAATTAAATAAATTCATACAATTGGAATTATAATTTAAACAATGTATTTTATTATTTTTAATCATTAACACCTTTCAAAGTCTATATCACGGTTTTCAGCAAATTCTGATCCCAATTTCTTTGATGTTACCAATTACATTCTTTTTACTTCAGCTTGATTAAATTCTGCTTCTGAAAGCCCAATCGCCAAAAGTATCACGAATTTTTATTAATCATTAATATAGAGTGAAAACATTTTTTTTGCAAGGACATCGATTTGCGTCAGATGACACCGGCCTACATTATCGGCCCAATATCATAACACCTTAAATGTTTTGACCGGCATTACCAGGCAAGCCGTCATCTGATGACGTCAGCCGTCAGCTGACAATTGACGCAACAACATTTATAACGATAATTACCTTTATTAAGAGTTAGAACTTTCTGTTAAAGTATTTTCGGATTTTTCCATGGAATTTTAAGAATTTACTACAATACTACAGAAATGTCCGTTTAAAAATTTAGAAGTACTTTATCGAAAGGTTAATGCATAACGATAGCAGATAATCAGATAATCGCATTATTTGATTTAGTTAAGATGCACATGATCAACTAGTGGAAGTACCTTTTAAATATTGGCGTAAATTATTAAACATTTCAACATAGAAGATAATGATGGAAAGTACAAATTAATGAAAAAGGAAACAAAAAAAAAAGCCACTATTGATGTTGTCGAATTGGATTGACGAAGTAAACCTTCTTACGAATTTTCATTATAGAAGAAGTTTAGATGAAATCATTTAGGGAAAAATATAAAAAATTAAAATGTTCTACAATACTTGTAATTAAATTAAATTAAAAAATTGTGATAAAATTATTGATAATAATCATTTTTATTATTTTTTCTAATATTCATTTAGATAGAAATGGTAGTTCCCTATAAAAAATTTTATCCGTTATTTCTGTAAAAACTCCGTAAAAATGAGCCTTTCACGGATCCATTCATTGAACATGTAAATAATTCGATAAATTCCGGGATATAAGGTTATTAATTCCGGAAATATGAGCCTAAAGACGGAATATAAAAATGGATCGATTTTTTTTACAGGGTTTTTTTATTTAATTTGTTAAACTTGTAACAAAATTATCAAATAAATAATTTAAGTATAAAATGTAAACAAATTAGTTATAAGTAAAGAATATTAAAACAAGATTCAACTTTTCAAGTTGAAGATATTGAATTATTTAAACCCGGTTGAATGTATGTATCATTATGTACTGTATAAATTTTTAAGTTTATGTAAAATAGACTTATTTTTTTTAGAATAATAATTATAATAATAAAAGTTAATTACTTTTTCTTTCTTTCACCGAAGGTTGAGAATATTTATATCGACATCGATGAGTTGGCGAGTTCAAAAATACTGAAATTAACTACATAATTATTATATACTATTTTAAATTCACGAGAAGCTCCGAATGCATTAATTCAGAATTAATTTATTGCTCTTTGGAAATATTGCAGTTAAAATACGCTATATTGACTGATATATATATATATAGTTAAACGGGTTTGTATAAAATGCAAAAAAAGTTTTTTATATCGTTATTCAAATAGTTTTCTTCCATTTTTCTTTGCGTTTCTCCTTTTCTTTTTTTAATTAATCAACACCATCATATAATTACATTAATGCTTTTTTTCAGAACAAGTATTGTAGCATGAAATGTTAGACACATAAATAAAGTGAATATCATGAATTTACCCTTCGATAAAGCACTTCGAATACTTTCTGTAGTACAATAGTAAATTCTTAAAATTCCATGCATATGGAAGATCAACATCATACTTTCCATAGCACAAGCAGAAAGTTCTGTCTTTTAAAATCAGAAATTATAAATATGCTTGTAAATTTCCTAAATTTTTTTATTGCATTGATAGTTATTTATACTACATAATAATAAAATGGAACTTACCGTTACTAAGATATTAAATTATGATTCTTACAATCCAACACCGAAATTAAAATCTAGTCCCATACCGATTTCATTTGTTTCATTCAATGCGAATGATTGCAATTGTATTCATTGTGGAGACGAATATACTATGTCACCTTTTAGTCAATACTATTGTGAAAAATGCTTATTGTGCTACCTTGATAATACAACTTATAAGAATTTATATGTGGACGCATATATATTAGCGGAGAACTTAATATTCCCAAGCAATTTCTGCGGCATTCTTGAAAATTATTTGGCATACGTATTTCAAGTTCACTACATCTTTTGTTTTAAACAAATACCTAGTAATTATATATTTTTTAATATTAACAATCCCATTATAATTTATTCAAAGATGTAATTGAAAGTGAGAAATACTGTAAACAATGTGGAAAATCATTATATCAAGAAACAAATAATTATGATTATTATGAGGTCAAAATGTGCTCAGATTGCTATTTAATTTCTTCTGAATGTATAGAATCAACTTTGACTAAAAAACCTACAACAATTCTTTACCTACCATGGTGGCTAAATATTAATCGTTGCAATTCTTGTAACATGCCATTAAAATTTACATCAGACCGTCAAAAGTATTGCGAGAATTGTTTCACATTTTATATCGGATGTAGATATTGTTTAACAACAAATATTGTTTTTGGAATTACAAGTCAATCACAATGTAAAAAATGCAAAAGAGTATCTTCTATTATTTTTGACATCACAAAAATTAGCAGTGGAAATAGTGATTTAGATGATTTTCTCGATAATTCAAGACTTGAAATCTACAATCAATTGAAATTAACTGAGTTTACTGATAAAATAAAGAATATTGTCAATTATTTCATTCCAAATAAATTATTTTCCTCTATTTACGAAAATTTCTCTTGTTTTAACAGTAAAGTAGGAATATCGATGGAATGGATATCATATTCTCAATTTATAAATGTAAAAGAGATAGCAAGAGGAGGATTTGGTATTATATACCTAGCAACTTGGCTAGATGGCTCAATAGAAGATAATTATTATAATCGAGTGAGACACGGTTGTGAAACTGTCATTTTAAAAAAATTCAAAAATTCTCAAGATATTAGTAAATATTTTTTAAATGAGGTAATTATTTAAGTATATTACAATATTTATATTATTTTTAAGTTTTTATAAAAAATAATTTAATTTTATCTTTGATATTTGAAAATTATAGTTAAAATCCAATCAATTTTGTTATAAATTTGAACAACATATTATTAGAACTTATGGTTTTACAAAAGATCCTAAATTTGATGATTATATATTAGTTATGCAATATGCATCAGGAGGAGATTTACATAATTGGATACAAGAAAATTTTCTAAGAATTACGTGGAGTAAACAAAAATTAGTTATTTTATGGGAGATTTCGGAAGGGTATTTACATTAATATATATTTATTATACTCATTTATAAAAATTCTAATTTACTAATTATTTCTTATTTTAGACTTGAGACTATTCATAAAGCAGATTATGTGCATCGCGATTTTCATAGTGGAAACATATTATTTAATTTGTCAAATAAAGTAGGACATCAATGGCAAATTGGAGACTTAGGATTATCACAACCTGCAAATAGCACTTCCAATAATGAAATATATGGAGTAATACCTTATATTGCACCTGAAATATTTAAAGGGTCTCCATTTTCTAAAAAATCTGATGTTTATTGTATGGGAATGATTATGTGGGAACTTACAGCAGGCTGTAAACCTTTTGCTAATGTTGAGCATGATTTCATATTGATTTTTAAAATTCTTGATGGAGAACGACCTGAAATTACATTAGATACACCAGAATGTTTTGCTAATTTAATGAAAAGTTGTTGGGATCCTGATCCTGAGAAAAGACCTTCCATGAAAGAAGTTCGTAATACTTTGGTTAGTTGGTCTTTAAGAAATATAAATATCGAACAATTTATTCAAGCAGAAATAAAAAGAAAAGAGTTAATAAAGTCAAAGAAGCTTCCTAAGTTTATTAATCCACATTCAAAAGCTATTTATACGAGTAGATTATTAAGCTTTTTTATATCTAAATGTTCGTCCATTTATTCTTCAAAAGGTATTTGCTAGAATAAGAACTGCCCGTAAGTAAAATACTAATAATTAATTTTTAACCGAAAATTTTAAATTTCTATAGATTATATTTCAAATGAACTGGACTTTGACATAGACATTAGGTATTTATAATAAAAAAAATTTCATCATTACATATTTTAAATTCAAACAATTTAAAACGTAATTTTATACTAGTAGTAGAACTAACGCACTTGGAATTAAACGAAAAATTGAAGATATAAATATTGATTTTCATGAAAATAGTGGTAAATATTAACTAGGAAAATTATTACTAATTACATTTATTATTTTATTTGTTTATTTGTTTATTTTTTTTTTTTAATTTAAAATTTAAAATAGGAAAATCCATTAAGATTAGTTCTAGTTATTCAAGGACTTCTCTCACAGACCGTAAATAGAAAAAATGAAGTGTTAACCTGTAAAAAAATTCTGAATACTTCTCTTTTTACGATTTGTATATAAAACTTTAATATGAATTATAAATCTGAAATTAAATTAACAATATTTTATTATATTTTATTATAAAAGTATATCAACTCATAAAATAAATTCATTAATTTAAAGATTATGGTTAATGTTTTTTTAAATGGCATTTTTTTTAGTTAGCAGAGGTTTAAGATATATTTATTATGCGAACACGTTCCCTTATATTATAATTAGAACAGCTGAATGCGTTTAATTCTGAATGAAATTGTTATGGTTTTATTATCATTTTCAAAAAATTATGGCAAGTTTAGTCGTAAACAGAGAAACTAATTGTATCGTATACTTTTAAGTTTAATAAAACTGAAACAAAGAAAAAAAAATTATATATCCTGAAAAAATATATAAATTTCAGTCGTGTTGACTAGATAAATCACGTGTAAATATACTGTATACTAAAAGAAATTCAAATGACAACAAAATCTGGTGCAAATCGTCACACGACATTCATTAAATCATGACGAAACTTATTTTTTCATAATTTCTTTTGACAATGATTTTAATCAGAATGAAAGATAGTACAATACATAGTTTACTTCATCACAGATATCTTGTAACGGGGAACATCATTTTGCCACTTAATAATTTAAAACATTTTTACTGAATTCTTAGTAAGAAGCTAAGAAATAAATCAAAGATCATAAAATTAAATTCAATTTTTCTCTTATTTATTCATTTTATATAAAAAAATTTTTATATAAAAAAAATCATCCTTCTATACAATTACGCTAATACCAAGATGCTTAAATATCGCATGTTGTCCTAAAAACCTCAATTTCCATTGGAACAAATTTCGTCATATTTGAATGTATGACGTTATTATCATTATAGGCCAAATTATTAACAGATATATTTTGACCTTTCATACGAAAAGTATTAGTAGGATCAAAATCACCACAAGATTTATCTAATATAATATTATAATTCATACGACATATTTTCATATTTTTAATATCAGTATCATTTTCAAAAGAAAATATAAAATTTTCAGTTGTACAGTCCCATACGTCTTTTGTAAATATACCTGAATAATATTCCCCATAGATTTTCGCCAAATTTTGCGTAGGTAATTTAGGTGTTTGTATATCCGGATTTAATACTGATCGCGTATTACAAGTATCAAGATTATTCTCACTTGTTGATTGAGTCAAATTATTTGTTGATGGTTTGATCAATATTAAACAAGGACCTTTGTTCATACATTTACTACGAAATTTCCTAACATCAAAACCGTCATTTCTTCCAGAATAAAGTAAATTGAAATTGTATCGCAAGTCATTATTATTGCGAATAGCCTTTGCATCTTTTCCTTCAATCCAATTAGCTATTACATGAGCATGTACCGGTTTAATAATTTTTGATTCAATATCTAACTTTGCAATTCGTGGTGATGAAATAGCTGAATTTACTGGTAAAGTACCTTTCATATGAAATTCTATAAATTCTTCATAAATATTGTTAGGAATAATGGCCTTAAATGGTCGAACTTTATCAAAAAAGTCTGCAGAACTAATTTCAGAGAATCGAATAAAAGGAATAAATTGACTAAATGTTTCTTTTAATGCTTCAAAATCATCATTCCAATTGGATTTATCCTTATTTTTACTTCTCAGACTGGGAATTTTTTCAATACTCCATTTAATTAAACAATCCCAAACAACAACTTCATCACCTAAAAAATCATCTCGTTTAAGTAATTCACATAGAGTATTCTTTTTGAGTAATGGAAAATCTTCAGATTTCATGAAATATTTTGAGTCCTTTAAGATCTCCATACAATAATCCTGGACCACATTACAATTAGGAAGTGTGAAAACCGTATTTAAAACGGAAATAAGATTATCTTGAATCCAATTTGATTGTTTTTTAATTAAATAACCTTGTAATTTATAAAATAATTCTTCAAGAAGTAATTCATCAGTTGCGATTAATAATTCAAAAATAAGTTCTCCTGATTGATTAGTTAATTCTACTTCACCTTTATAAATATAACTTAATTGAAAAAAAAAGTATGTTAACATTTTTTTTATTGTTAAAAATTTTTAAATTATTAAATTATTATAACTCTTACTTGAGAATTATTTCGAAAACAGCAGGATCAATATTTGGTTTTTTAAACTCAATCATATTATCTTTTTTAGTAGTCCATTCGATAGATAATGCTCTTCTAAAATAATTTGAACGAGCTTTAAGGATACTTGAGTGTGCAAAAAATTCTTTCATATTTGAATCTTCTCCAACTTTAATGATAGCATCATGATCATTTGAATCTTTTAACATTGATGAAAAGTCTCTTAAAAGAACGTCATGAAGATTTATAGACATCTTTTTAAAATTATTATGTAGAGTATACGTATTTAAGGATATCGATAAAAGTTGTGTAAATAAAAAAAGTAGAAAAAATACAGAGTAAAAAAAAAAATATTATTGCGATCTGAATATATATATATAGAAACAAAGGTTACACAACGTCTACCGCGTAACCGCGTAATCGACCAGTGACACAACGCACACGACGCGTTAATTATCTAAATTATTATATTCAAGGCAAATAATATAATAATAATAATTATTATTAGTGAAGATATTAAAAATATGAAATTAAGTCGTGTAAAAAAATTTTCTATTTATTGTGGTGCTTCAGGTTTTAATTTTGGTCATGGTTCATTACTATATATGAATAATTAAAAATTATATGCTAATAATTCTCATGGTACAGTAATTAGTATGAACTTTATTTAAATATAGATTATAGTCATAATTATTTTAATATTAAAGAAATTGAAACATTTTTGGTAATAAAAAGATGATTAAAAATAAAATAAATAAAATTAATTGTTAAAATCATAAATAAATGTTGTTATAAACCTTTTCGAATTTTTGCGTTCGTGATATTGTTCCACGTTATGTATTCCATATTTTTCCATAAATGTAACATATTTTCAAAATTTATAATGAAATCATTAGACTTGAATTTTTGTTTAACAGTAGTCTCAGAATACAATGAGAAGATTCTTATAGGAATGTTCTATAAAATTGTGACCCGTCTAATAAGCACAAAAAAGGTGATCCAAATAATGTGTAGATTTTTCCTTTTTTTGGATAATGACAGCAGCATTATGTAACTTGAGATACGTAGAACTAATAGTATATTTCTCGGATATAGGCGAAACAGTTGCATGACCGTATGCAAAATTTCATTTAAGAATAAATTTCACATTCTTTTCAAAGTTGACTTTCTACGTGGAATTCTGACAAGAATTCTTAATCTATAGCTCAATTGGAAATAGTTATTGTTTTTCTAAAATATTTTATTTTTTCATTTGAAAATAGTGAATATATTAAAAATATCGTGTAAAGAATTTTTCTAAAGTATTTATTGTGGTGCTTCAGGTTTAATTTTAGTCATGGTTCTTTATATGCGAATAATCAAAATTATATGCTAATAATTCTCATGGTAATTATGAGCGTTATTTAAATTATTTAAATATAAATTATAGTATAATTATTTTAATATTAAAGAAATTGAAACATTTTTAGTAATAAAAAGATGATTAAAAAATAAAATAAATAAATTCAAAATTGTTAAAATAAAATAAATAATGTTATAAAAATTTTTCGCTGATGACAATCAAACAATTAAATTTTTTTGAAATTCTCGTTGAGAATAATTGATAATTTTTTCACAAAGAAAAGAGGCTTTGAATTAAAAAAAAAGTTTTCTTTTTTTGATTTGAAGTAAATCTTGAATGAACCATATTATATAGATTGTGATTATCATTGTTCCACGTTATATATTCCATATTTTTCCATAAATGTAACATATTTTCAAAATTTATAATGAAATCATGAGACTTGAATTTTTGCTTAACATAGTAAGCAGTCTCGGAATGTAAAGAGAATATTCTTATAGGAATGTTCTATAAAATTGTGTCCCGTCGATCCACTAATACTCCTCTAATAATCGATGATAGTTTTATAATGGGCATTATAAGCACAAAAAAGGTGAACCAAATAATGTTAAATTTTCCATTTTTTTAGATAATGCCAGCAGCATTACGTAATCATTCTGAGATGCAATAGTAAATGGGCGCCGATCTCCATTTATATATTTCTCGGTTATAGGCGAAACAGTTGCATGACCGTATGCAAAATTATAAATTTCACATTCTTTTCAAAGTTGACTTTCTGCGTGGAATTCTGTTAATCTATAGCTCAATTGGAAATAATTATTGTTTTGCTAAAATATTTTATTTTTTTCATTTGAAAATAGTGATATATTAAAAAAATGAAATTAAGTCGTGTAAAAAATTTTTCTAAAGCATTTATTGTGGTGCTTCAGGTTTTAATTTTGGTCATAGTTCATTATGTGAATAATCAAAATTACATGCTAATAATTCTTATTTAATATTAAAATAATTATGACTATAATCTATATTTAAATAATTTAAATAACGTTCATAATTACCATAAGTTGAAACATTTTTAGTAATAAAAAGATGATTTAAAATAAAAGAAATAAATTAATTGTTAAAATAAATAAATGTAGTTAAACATTTCATCGGATATAAAAAAATTTTCGTCGTCTATTATTATACAAAATAATTATATGAAGCGATTGAAGCGTCATACTAACTAATGCATAATTTGTATAATTACAAATAAATCAAATTTTTGCGTTTGTGGTACTTTTACGTCCTCTGAAAAAAACTGTTATATACAGTATTCCGTATTTTTCCATAAATGCACGATAGAAAATTTATGACAGACCAAATTTTTTGCTGATCATGTGGCAATCTCGGAGTATATAACGAGAATATTCCGTCGATCCTATAATAACAGTTTTAGGTGGCGTTATATGCACTTCTCTGACGTTATATGCACTCCTCTAATAACTGTTTTATAGCACAAAAATAAATGTGTAGATTTTTCCTTTTTAGATAATGCTAGCAGCATTACGTAATTCTGAGATGCGTAGAACTATTAGTAAATGGGCGCCGCCTATTTATATATTCCTCGGTTATAGGTGAAACAGTTGCATGGCCGTATGCAAAATTTCATTGAAGAATAAATTTCACATTCTTTTCAAAGTTGTGTCTTTCTGCGTGGAATTCTGATAAGAATTCTTAATCTAATTGATCAACAGATTGTTCTATCTTAACGTACCAATAGTCAAAAAATTATAAATATGTCGTAGTTTTTCTTATTACATTTTATTATAGCATAAAATGGATCTTGTAAAGAGATTAAATGATTTTGACCCAACTCCAAAATTAAAATCTAGTCCAATGCCAATAAATTTTATTCCTTTTGATAATCATGAAAATAATTGTTGCATTTTTTGTGAAGAAGACTATGATCGTGCGCTTTTTTCTTATTGGCAAAAATATTGCAAAAATTGTTTATTATGTTATCTTACTAATATAACAGATAATAATATGTACTTGGATGCACATCATACAATGGACTTAAAATGTAGTGAACATGAAATTAGGACAAAAGAACCACAAGTAATTCAAGAATGTTGCAGGAATTGTTTGGTAGTATTATGTTTCAAACAAATTTTTAGTACCGTTATTTCTGGTTTTTATTCAAATGAAAATTTATACAATAGTGTAATCGAAATTGAAAAGTATTGCAAACTGTGTGGAAAATCATTATATCAAGGAAATGATAATTTCGTGAAGAAATTCAAATTATGTTCGAACTGTTATCTAATTTCTTCTGAATATATAGAATCAACTTCGGCCAAAAAAAATATTCTAATTATTTATTTACCATGGTGGCATAACATAGATCGTTGTAATGCTTGTAATTTAGATTTAACATTTACGTCAGATTGTCAGAAATATTGTGGGAAATGTCTTATATTTTATACTGGATGTAGATATTGCTTAACAACAAATATTATTTTTGGATTAACAACTCAATCTCAATGTAAAAAATGCAAAAGAATATCTATCATTTCTGATCCCACAAATATTTTGAATGAAAATAATAATGAAAATAGAAAATTATATGATTTTACTCACATATCTCACATATCTCATTGTAAAGCTTGTGGCAAATCCTTAACACTTATATCAGAATGCCAAAAATATTGTGAGAATTGTTTTATATATTATATTAAATGTAGATATTGTTTAACAATAAATAATATTTTTGGGCTTACAATTCAATATCTATGTAGAAAATGCAATAGAAAATCTATTGTGAATATTTTTAGTGGAAACAGTGAATTAGATGAATTTCTCTTCAACTTATTTCCTGACACGCATTTTTGCGTTAATATGAATGCAAATGAGTTTATAGACGCAGACGAGTTTATAGGCGTAGATGAGTTTATAGACAAAATAAAAAATATTGACAAATATTATTTTCCATCAGAAATAAATTTAACTATTCGTTCTATGTCTCAAAAATACATAAATAATCGATCAAAAAACTTGAGGGATCAAATAAAAAAGTTGAAGGATCAATCAGAAAAGTTGAAGGATCAATCAGAAAAGTTAACGGATCAATCTAAAAAGTTGATAGAGTGGATATCATATTCTCAATTTACAAATGTAGAGGAAATAGCAAGAGGAGGATTTGGCATCATATATTGTGCAACTAGGGATAAAAAAAGTGTCATTCTAAAAAAATTCAAAAATTCTCAAGATACCAGCAGATATTTTTTAAATGAGGTATTACAAATCTTTGTATTATTCATTTTATAGAATAACATAATTTTAATCTCTGATAATGAATTTCTTTTAGTTAAAATCAAATCAAAATTGTTATGAAATTAAGCATCATATTATTAGAGTTCATGGCATTACAAAAGATCCTAAATTAGGTGAATATATGTTAGTTATGCAATATGCACCAGGAGGAGATTTACATAACTGGTTACAGAAGGAATTTGCAGATATTACATGGAATAAAAAAAAACTAGCTATTTTGTGGCAAATTTCAGAAGGGTATTTATTGAACATAAATAAATAATTCTTGTTATTCATAATTTCTAATTTATTAATTATTTTTATTTTAGACTTGAAACCATTCATAAAGCTGATTATATACATCGAGATTTTCATAGTGGAAACATATTATATGATTTATCAAGTATAAAAAGACATCAATGGCTAATTGGAGACCTAGGATTATCACAACCTGCAGATAATACATCGTCAAATAATGAAATATATGGAGTGATACCTTATGTTGCACCAGAAATATTTAGGGGATCTGCATTTTCTAAAGAAACTGATGTTTATTGTATGGGTATGATTATGTGGGAACTTACAACAGGTTGTAAACCTTTTGCTAATGTTGAACATGATATCAATCTGATTTTTAAAATCCTTGATGGAGAACGACCTGTAATTACAGAAGATACACCAGAATGTTATGCAAATTTAATGAAAAGTTGTTGGGATCCTGACCCCAAAAAAAGACCTTCTGCGACAGAAATTCGTAAAACTTTTGGTAAATGGTTTTTTAAAAACAAAAACATCGAACCATTTAATCAAGCTGAATTAAAAAGAAGAGAGTTAATAGAATCACAGAAACTTGGTCCTGAATTTGCTAAAAAACCTCACCCAAGAGCTATTTATACGAGTAGACCACTAAGCTTTTTCATTTCTAAATGTTCATCGATTAATTCATCACAAGGTATTGTCTTAGAAAAATTTAAAAATTAATCTTGGTAACTTAAAATGTTAACCAAATGCATTAAAATTTTTTAGGCTATAGTTACATTTCAGAAGAACAAGGATTTGATATAGACATTGAAAGGTATTTAAAGTTAAAAAATTTTTTTTGGAAAAAAACCAATATTATTAATTATTTGTAATTTAATTGACGGACATCCAAATGCAAGTTATACTAGTAGGTCCTTAAGTGTACCTGTAACTTCTTTAGGAAAGCGAAATATTGAAGAATTAAATATAAAAGAGACTAATAATGATAGCGGTAAATGATTATTTATTCATAACTATTGATTTATTCAAATATACTTATTTTTTTAATTTTAAATAGGGAAACATGTTAAACTCGTGCATAGAAATATAGAATGAATCAATAAGCATACATTGTTTTAAGTTATTTAATTATTATCATATATAAATTATTTAGTGTTTATAAAATGAATAAAAGGATATTAAATGTAATGGAGCGTTATAGTGTTATTTATGCAGCATTATATAACTTCAAAAAGTATTTATATTATTAAATCATCTAAAATAAATTTTTCTTATTTTCGTACGATGATTTGGATAGGATTTAGTCATGTGATAATTCTGCATTTTATTTATTTATTTATTTTATGTCAAGCAGGAAATTGCCTACTGAGGTCATTACAATTCAGAAGAAGAGAAAGAAGCAATATAACAGGAATTTACCACCCAAAGTCGATTCAAAATCGAAATCAGGCTCTCACTTGTGTTTAAAGAAAAACCAGTTTGAACCCTAATCCGTCCGATGAGGAACAAAACAAATAATAATAAAAAGAAACCTAGCAGATAGAACATAGTAACAAATTATAAAAAGGAAGACCATATCGATAGAAACGACAGATTAGAGAAGTAAAATGGATCAAAATTAAACGTGGTAGATGTCTAAACATAAAATAAGGCGCGTCTATTATCAATTTATCAGAGTTATGAATAATATTATGAGAAATTAAAAATAAATGTTCAAAAAAAGTACTACTATGCAAAAAATTGGATGAAGTAAATAAAATGATAATAAAATCAGCCTGATTTTATTACGATAGTCGTGAAACGGACTACGATAAGGTGTATAGATTCTCGATTAAGGGATCGGCCAGGTAATTGATGCGCATTATCACTATTTCTGCGAGAATAATTTTTGAAATCGGCTTTAGTAATACCATTATTAGTTTTCCATTCTTGATAATTCTGCATTTTCTTAATTCCAACCAACAAAAAAAGCTCGGGCACATGATATAAAGTGTGACGTCTAAATTTTGATTGGTTGATCTTGTGTAACATTTAACGTTGAAAAAAAATAACTTTATAGTAAAAAAATCAATAGAAATAAAATAAATTTTTTAAGTTTTAAATAGTTTTATTATGTTTTTTATTGAATAATACTGTAAATAATACAGAAAAATTTTTACTTGAATATATAAGAATTTTTTTTCTCTGTTTTTAATTCTCTGTATAGCTGATAAAGTAACATATACCTAACTAAAAATATACAAACTTTAAAAATTCCAAAGAAACGTAAAATATTAATATAGTTAATAAAAAGAAATAAATCCCTATGAAAAAAAATCATCCAATTTTTGTACAATATTTGTTCAAGTCCGTGTGGAAATTGTACAATTATTGCAGATTTTTGGATAAAAATAGCTATGAAGTTTTTCAAAGCATATTAAAAGTATGCAATTTTTGTACAACTTAAATTTAAGATATAGAAAATGTTCAATTTTTGTGTGATTTTTATACAACTTAAATTTAGGATACAGAAAACATTCAATTTTTGTACAATAAAAATTGTGATTATTGTACAACTTGAAAATAGACTTAAATTTAGGATACAGAAAGCAATT